CGGTGCGGGAGGGGTGCAGCCCGGAGAGGGGGTCAGTCCTGGTGTGGTTGGGTTGAGATGTGAAGGAGATGTTGTGGGGTGGGATGTTTCTGTAGCACCAGGAGTCTCAGCGTATCACCCTCCTAAAAAGGGGGGGATTGGTGGGGTGAGGAGTGCCGGTGGGCTCAGGGCTTGAGGGAGCTGTGCCCCGGGAGATGCGCTGAGTGAGCAGAAGAGGCCTCAGGAAGGTCTCCTGAGAACCCCCAGCAGTAGGTTTGGGTGCCTGTCAGGAGGGAGGATGAAGGAAACCTGCCGAATCTGTGCCCGGGAGCTGTGCGGCAACCAGCGGAGATGGATCTTCCACACAGCGGCCAAGCTGAACCTCCAGGTGCTGCTCTCCCACGTCCTGGGCAGGGAGCTGTGCCGGGATGGCAAATCCGAGTTTGCTTGCAGCAAGTGTGCCTTCATGCTGGACCGCATCTACAGGTTCGACACCGTCATTGCACGCATCGAAGCCCTCTCCATCGAGCGCCTGCAGAAGCTGCTGCTGGAGAAAGACCGCCTCAAGTTCTGCATTGCAAGCATGTACCGCAGGAACAACGAAGACTCTAGCACAGATGACAGAGCTGGGGATGGGACTGTGGACCTTTCTAATCTGCCTGATGTACGGTATGCTGCCCTTCTTCAGGAGGACTTTGCTTATTCTGGGTATGAATATTGGACGGATCAAGAAGATCACAGCTTGGAGGCACACAGCTGCCATGCTTCAGAGGGAGCAAGTAACCGCCCGCGGCGCTGCCGTGGCTGTGCTGCGCTGCGGGTGGCCGATGCTGACTACGAAGCGATTTGCAAAGTGCCGCGAAAGGTGGCCAGAAGCATCTCCTGTGGGCTGTCCAGCCGGTGGTCGGCCAGCATGGGCAACGAGGAGTCGTCCGTGTGCGACGCAGCAGAGTCTGCCAGCGCCAGAGGGCCTGTGGATGGGGAAAGCATGGAGGAAGGCACACCTGCGTCTTCTGTTGAGTCCCTGGACACGACTGTGGAGGCGAGCCCTCCGCAGCAGAAGGATGAAGATGCAGATAAGGGGGTGAAAGGGAATGGCAAATGTGATGATTTCTTAGATGACCGCATGACCCCAAACTCTTCACTGAGTGGGAACAGGCTGGAGCTGGCCCTCAGCTTGATCAAGGCTTTGGACTACAAACCCCTTCAGAGCCCCCGAGGCAGCAGGCTACCTATTCCTGTGAAGTCCAGCTTGCCCCCTCCCAAGCTCAGCCGTGACTTGGCAGATGGCAGCGCTTCTGCTGGCTTAGTGTGTGCTGGTTCTGCCTTCCTGAATGCAGACAGAAAATCCTTTTCCAGAGCTCCTTTGGGTATTTCCCTGGAAATTTCTGAACTGCAGGAGCTGTGGGATGACCTCTGTGAGGATTATATGCCGCTGCGGGTACAGGTAGAGGTCATTGTGCTGCTGTTCGATTGAGCAGCGTCTCTGCAGCCCGACACTGAGCCCACTAGGGATTCTTATGTGCTGAGATAATACAGATAGCCATGTGTCGCTGAACCCAGGGCTAAGAATAGGCAGCTCAGTCCTTTTTAGGTGTGCTGCCTCTCTCCTGTGTCATTCTCCTGTTGTCTGTTTCCTCCTTGTGTCCTGGGAAATCAACCTTCCCTCCCCTCCATCAGCTCTCCCTGTGAGTGCAGCCTGCTATCACTTCAGCTTTCTCTTTAAGAAGTCAGCGTGACTTTTGCCCACAACGAAAGGGAGTGTTTTAAGCTTCTGGGCATGTGTTTTCCAACAAATGTGTTTTCTTTGTGCCTGGGTAATGGTTCAGCATCAGGAACGCCTGCCTCTGGAGCCCTGCCTCTGCAGATCAGGCCTCCAACCTGCCTAGTGTGCAGATCCGCGCAGGGATCTGTGGTGCATGCCCTGAGGAAAAGGTGTTTTCCTTGCAGGTGGATTTGTGCCAGAGGATGACTTTAGGGTTGGTATTCTAGATAACTGGTTTATTTTCTGATCCTTTGAAAAGACTCATCAGTTAATGCTGAGAGGTGATGAAAGCTCCTGCTTTCACGGGACTTCTGGTGCTGTTCTTGATGGTAGTCCTCGTGTAGCTCTGGATTGCATCTGTTTTGCTGGCTTTAATGAAATCTTCATTAGTATGCAGTCAAAAAGCTGAACTTGTAACTCCTTTTCCACTTTCCTTAATGAATAGAAGGCCTCAGTCAGCTTCAATTCAGGAATATCCATGTCAGCCTAATTGCATTCCCATTAGCAGCCTTAGTGCTATCTAATGCTCTAGGTAGCCTGGGGGATTAGAAAAATGCTTGTTTATTACTATGGCAACTGTGGCTGTGCTGAATTACACTTCCTATTCAGCCAGTGCTGCTTGTTGTCCCATCTGCTTGGGCGTTTCCCAGAGCTGTCTGCTTTTTCCATTAAAGCTTGCTCAAGAGATGGAGCGGGGCAGGAATGTAGAAAAAACTGGTTTTCATCTGGTGCGCAAAGGCATCGTGCTGGCAGCCACTGACTGAAGATGTGAAGCAGGGCATTGCTGCTCCTGTAGTCTTGTGTTGCTTACTGATTTTCACTGCTAGGGATATATTTACAGTATAAAAATAGGCTTTCTCTTAACAGAACTTGGCGCAATCAATGTGGCGTGTTTATGGCTTGGCTTTGTGTCACGGGTTGCCATCCTCATCCTGGAAACTGCTTTAGAGGAGTTTCTCCAGCCTCTGCCATCTGACCATCCCTGCCAGGAATTCATCCTGCAGGATATTTTACCACCTCCTTCTTGCTGTGGCAGCAGCAGCTGTGGTCTTTGGTGCAGGGTCTGGCAGAAAGGGGAAAGTGCTTAATCGTTTGGATGGCTGTAACAGCAAAAATGAGAAATTGGATGCAGCTAGTAAGATAAATGATTCTTGTATAAATGATTTGTCTTTCTCTTTGTACGACCAGTACTCTTTATAAAAGTCAGGTACCGCTGTCCAGCAATTCATATGTGGAAATGCCTTTCTGGTAACATGAAAGGAATATATAGGATATGTAGGACCACAGTTTCTGTATTGCTTTTTGGGAAGCTGCAGTTCTCCTTTAAATTTACTGCTGTAAGCTATGATGACCGAGAGATCTGGTGTCAGGGCAGATGAACTCATAGGTACTGTCTTCTTGGGCATTCCCTTGAAACGACAATTCTTCCTCTTCATCACCACAGCCCCAGGAAAATGTCGCCAAACCCAGCCTTTGTCAGATGCACTCTTGCAGCTGCCTGCGGTGCCGCGCTGTCGGCGAGGGATGCATTGCCCTACTGACAGCCCGTCTTTTATCCGCTGCTCAGGGCAGATGCGAGCTTGGCGTACTTAGATAATGCCGTGATTATTATTACTATTTCTTAAAGAAGTGTTCTGTCTAGGTTAGTGTGTGCTGACATTGCTGGAGCTGTATTGAGGAGAGATTGTCAGTAAAATGCTGATGTAGGAAAAACCGCTGGGGAGCCGTGCTCTTCCTTGTGTGGCATGGCTGCGGGGAAGCACAAGGGAGGAGCGAGGTAGCTTGGACTTTGGACTCTGGAGCTGGCTTTGCCTTTCCCTTCCCTGCTCTTAACTCTTTGCAGGCTTTTTGCTTATTTTTCTTTGGAATGTTCAAATTGTGAGGAAAGGTGTGATCTCCCTTTTTTTTTTTTTTTTTTTTTTTTTTTTTTTTTTTTTTTTTTGTCTTCTCTGTTTTCTTTTCATCAACCTTATTTCAAAATACCTGCTGTGTGGAGAGATTCCAGCAGCTCTCCCTGTCTGATCTGAAGCTGCCTGGCAAGGCAAATTTGAAATTACTTGCTGTGACTCTTTAAGGTTTCACTAAAATCTTAACAAAATGTTGGGGTAAAGGGAAGCACTGCTTCTGTATGGAAGCTTCTCTATGTGAGAGGCAATGCACAGGCCTGGGGGAGCTCCCCTGCGCTGTCTGCCTTTCCCAGAGACCGCGTTCCTGTGGCTGCTGAAGATGAGGATTCAGTCTGACAGGGCTAATCAGAGTCGGCTGTTGTTCTCCCTGTGCTGTGCTGTCTGGAGCTGGTGCTCCTGCGTGTGCTCTGACAAGCTCTGCCATGTTTTCATAGCCTCTGCGCTGCAACCCTGAGCTTGCCAGGGCTTCCAGTTAAAACAGACACCAATACAATCAATCTCGTATCACTGGTGATATTCAGGAATACTTAATGAGTCCTCTGAGGGCTGGGGGTGGGTGGCTGGGTTTGAATGCTGCTCTCAGGAGTTAAGAACTCACTAGGCGGGACATAGCAAAATAGTAAGAAGGGATGACACGGGATTAGTGTGTGGTCAGTCAGCAGGGTCTGGCAGGCCACGTGTCAGAAAGTAGGCTGTTTCCATTCCCAATAAATGGGTATGTGTCATGAAAAAAAATCTCAGCTGTGGCACTGAATTTGCTACAGCTTGTGGAGCTGCAGGGAATCGCACACGGCGTGGATGCTGGAGCGTGGCGAGCTGTGAAGGAAAGCCCAAAGGATCACAATTGGAGGGGTTCAGAGCTGGGGGGGACTGCTAGGTCATGACAGGAGGGTAGCTGGTGGGAAGGATTGAAGGTTGTGGGCATGATTAAGGTGGAGAACAGGGGAAGGAAGAGTTTGGTTCAGTGCTGGCTTTGCTTTGAAGCTCTCTGAAGCTGTCAGCAGAGCACATGGGAAGGAGGAGGGGAGGTTTCAGGGATGTGTCTTAGGTGTGGGGAGCAGATCCGTCATCAGCCTGCAGATGGTGGTTAGAGCCAGACAAGCTGCTGGGTTCATGGTACAGGAGTGAGGAGAGACAGAGAGCCCAACCAGAGCATTGGGGCAGGTCAGGCAAGGAGGTGAAGGGAGACATGGGCAGCATGATGTTTCAGAGGCAGTTAGAAAAGCCTGGTGGGGCATATTTAAGCCCATGCTGCAAGGTCTCTGAGGGCTGACAGCTGAATGGTGCAAGTCTTGAGCCATTTCTCTCCCTTTTTTCAGAATCTGCAGGATGAACATCAGCAGCCAGCTCCAGGTGACCCTGCAGTGGGGGAGCACGTGTCCGATCTGTGTGCTGCAGAGCTGCAGGGCAAAATCCAGCAATTTGAAGCTGCAAACAAGGTATTTCTTCATGAACAGCAAATTCAGTTCCTAGTGAGTCTGATGCAGTTAAGTATTGGAGGATGCCTCCTAGCCTGGTCAGAGGCAGGCATCTGCACCTCTGTTCCAGCAAGGGTGTTCACTGATGCATGATTTTCAGTGCTGTTGTCTGCCGGCTTGAGTTAAAAGCATTTAACTTTTTCTGCAGCTGCACTATGTAAAGTTTCCATATTTATTTTTGCAAACCATTATTTTGGAAGAACTTCCCACTTGCCTGTTGAGGCTTCCAGGAGCTGGTGAAGGAGAGATGCACAGGGCCATTTTCCTGTCTCTTGGATTTGCATGGGCTGAGATTGGTGCAGGAGAGGAGGGCACCTGCCTTTTGAGACAGCTGCCTTCTTTTTTGCAAGCAGTAAGGCAGATCAGCGTAGAGGGGGGCCTGTTTTCATTTTGATTTAAAGGCTTTCTTAGGAAAGAAACATGCAGTGGCTTTGTCTTGAGGCAGATCAAATTTAACATATGTTGTGAGGGGTGGTTGTTCTTAGTTATGCTCTTGAACTGTAAGTTATACCCACTGGGAAAACAGAGGGATTAAGTGGGGGGAAAAAAACATTGGGATGGGATCTGTATTTAAATCTGGGGACAGCTGTAAGCTATTGGAGCTGCCTGGACCACGAAGGTTGACAGGGAAATAAAGAGGCCCAAGGCCCAGTAAATGCAGTTGGAAGTGTTTAAACAGTTTAGGGGGTGTGCCTCTTAGAGAAGAGAGAACATAACAGGTGTGTAAACAAAAGGTGATCATGTGGCAGCACCTACTCCTTAAGAAATTAAGGCTTGAGTAAGTTCTGAAGAACATGCATATCATACAAGATTAAGAATGCCAACAGGCAGCATGTTTAGAAATGCTAACAAGCAGTTGCTTAAATGCACAACGTGCACTGTGTCATGAATGTTATGGCGAAAGCAGAGAACTGTCCTAAAACTGTTTGAGTTGGTAGTCTCTTTAGGGTGAGAAAGTCTAAGGCAAAAGTTCCTCAGGTTGTAAACCAGCCACAGAGACTGGTGAGATGTTCCCCTTTGCTTTGCAGCTGTGCTGTTGGCGTGCTGGCACTGGCTAGACTGTTGTGCTGAAGCCAGAACTTGAGGCTAAATGAGCCACTGATCAGATCAAACAGAGAATTGCCTAGACCAGCAGTTGCTGCAAGAGTGCCTGGGTGGTCAAAGGAGACAGCAAGAGAAGGGACTGGAAGATTATAAAGGGGCAGCTGTAATGCTCTGGAGGACCTCAGAAGCAAATGGGACAGTTTTTAGAATGTGTAGCTTCTCCATGTTGATCCCCCCCCCCCATCTCTTGGGAGGTTTTTAGGCTGAAGCAGCCTTTTTCCTCTTAAGGGAACAGAAACAAATGATAGAAACTTGGAAGGCTGCTGGGCAGTCCAAGCAAGACTGTCCTGGCATATGTGGGAGGCAGTACGATGCATCAACCCAAGCCTAGAACCTCTGCCCTGCACATGGGGGCTGCATTGGAGGGACCAGAAGCACTGGAACAGTCCTGCGGAGGGACTGAAGGCTTTGTATTTACTCACCAGTCTCCACCCAGCTCAAACAGTATTTACAGACTCTAGAGGCAGCCATGTTGATCTTGATCTGGTGAACAGCTGGGGCTGTTTAGACTTAAGGAGTGCAGGGAGTCCTAAGGGTGTTTATGTAGAGCATTAGGCAGGATTTAAAAAAATAATATATTTCTGTCTTCAGTTGTTACAGGAAAAGCTGGATGAATTGAATTTTGAATTAAAATCTGTCCAAGAAATGTCACAGAGGCAAGATCGTACAATCCAGAGTCTGAATGAGGCCCTGAAGAGCAAAGAGAGTAAGGTAATAGTTTTGGGTGGACAGGGTAGTGCTCACCAAAAGAGGAAAGTGTGCTAGCCCTGTAGGCAGTGACTGAAAAGGAACACTTAAGCCATTGCTGAATCTCCTTAAATTATTTCTTGTGAAGCTTTTGCTTTCATGTGATGCTGACATGTGTCATAATCCATGCCGGAGGCTTGGGACGGGAGGGTTTGTGCTTGGTTTGCCAATGACTGGGCTTTCTGTCCTTTGACTTGTAGACAGAAGAGCTGTACCATATCATCGAAGGGCAGAATGAGACAATGGCCAAGCTGCGGGACATGTTACACAGAAGCCACCTGGGACAGTTGCAGGTATGTCCCTGAAAAACCTCAAATTCATCAGGTTTCATTCTGAAGGGATCCCTCTTGTGAAGTGAGTCTTTGAGTTTCTCTGCTTCCCATTCTTTTTAGATGTCAGAGAGCCCACTCTCATCCCAGGAGCAGCAAATGTCGCTGCTAGACCTTCAGAACGTGCTTTTCTGCACCAAGCTGGAGGTGCGGAAACTGAAAAGAGCTCAGCGCCAGAAAGAGCATCAACTTGCTGAAGCCAGGAGAGCAACCCAACTCCTAGAGACCATGGTGCATGAGGAAGAGCAGCAGAAAGAGGCAACCTGGAAACACAACCAGGTATGACAAGCACTTAGCCTCGAAGTCTTTGGGCTTACATGACTTAAGCAGCACTGATGTAGTCAGTACTCTGCTCTCTTTCATCATTTCTGCGTACACCAGTCTGGGCACACTTGTCTAATCCCTTGTCACATGTGGCAGGGAAAATTCTCCAGCCTCCTTAGCTTCATATCTGAGGATTTAGAATTGGCAAAGACGCTTGATAGTGGGTATGCTGTCACTTGTACATCTTTGGCTGGCACAAGTGTCCCATCTCTTCTTGTGGTGTTACGAAGTTAATGTCTGCTGCTGCACAGGTTAGCTGTGATTGACTATAAAGCTCTGCCTGTGGCCAGAGCAAGGGGTTTAGATGGATGGATACCCTGGGAAATGAAATAAATTCAAACTTCATCACCATGGAAGTGTGCTTTGAGATGTGGAAGCTGTAGTACTGCAGAGCATTTTTGGCTGTTCCTACAACCCTTGTTGCTCTTGGCTTCTTCAGATTGGTCTGTTTACAGGTCTGATGAGGACTGGCTGCCAAGCTGTGTGCTTTTCCCTCACAGGAGCTGCGTGCTGTGGTACAGCAGCTGCAGGCAGAGCTGCAGGACAAGGCTCAGCAGCTCCAGACTGTGGAGTGGGAGAAATGCTGTGAGCTGCAGGCCCAGGAGCAGAGAATTCAGTGTTTGAGTCAGCATTTGGCTCGCAAGGAACAGCTTCTGCAGGTGAGATGCAGAAAGATTCAAGTTGAATGTAACTAGCCAGGGCCCCTGTTCCTCCTTTGGTATTTGGCAATGCAAAACTCAGTCTGTAGCTTTCATGCGTGCCCTTCAAAGAAGGGAAGGAAAGAGATGCTTCTAGGCTCCCAAGATGAGGAAGAAGGCACTAGTATCAGAGTATCTCAGCCCACAGCAATGCCTGGTGAGCCCTGGCAGGCACTAGTCAATCAGCCCCAGGTGCTGGGACACTGCAACCCTTTAATGTGGGGGGTAGAGCAAGTGTAGAGTGGAGGTAGTTAGCCCTGATTCTCCTGAGCTGCTCTCTGGTGGGTTTCTGAATTGACAGGTGTGTGTGTGTGACCTTTAGGAAACGAGGGAGCTTCTGCAATGCCAGCAAAGCTTGGACAAGAGCCCTGCAGCCATGAATGCCATGTTGGAGAAACTGCAGCAGCGAGTCAGCGACAGGGATGCTGCCCTGGAGGTGAGCACAGCCTGTTGGTGTTGTCTCAGTTTTCCTGAGGCTCATCCTTTGGGCTACCATCAGCAGTGCAGTCCCAGGCTGACCCCAGGGGTGACCATGTCTTCTACATGCTCTTCATGGCTCAGCCTTCCAGAGGAGTCCTCTGAAGGGAAGAGCTGAGGTGCCCCACAAAGCAAGTGGTGGGCTGCAAGAGCCCTACTACCCCATTCTAAGTAATCACCCCCTCTCACCCTAGCGAGCAGTAGATGAGAAGTTCTGTGCCCTGGAGAAGAAGGAGCAAGAGCTGCAACAGCTCCATCTCTCAATAAGGGAGCGTGGAAGTGACCTGGAGAGACTGCGCAATGTACTATCCAGCAACGAGGCCACCATTCATGTGAGTGCTTCTTACCTGCGCACGTGGAGTCCAGCCTGGCTGTGGTGTGGTGCTAGACAAACCTTCCTGTGAATGCTCTGGTTGTTGCTGGGGAGAGTGGCTGCAGGGTGTTGGCCTTCCTCTGGCCCTGTGTGCAGGGTTCCTGGGTCACTCGTGTTTCTGGGCTGGGTGTAAAGGTGAGTGTGGTGTCTGGAGAGGACAAGGGTGGATGTGTGTGACTCCACTAGCAGGAGAGACTGGTATTTCTAGTTCTGCTTAATTCAGGGTAAAATCTCTGTCCCTGGTTGAGCTGCTTCTGTTGTGGTCCCCAGAGCCTGGAGAGCCTCCTGAAAGCCAAAACGCTGGAACTAGAGCAGGTGTCGGCAACCTGCCAAAACCTCCGTTGGCTCAAGGAGGAGATCGAGGCCAAATCCTGCAGCAGACAGAAGGAGCAGGAGGGGATCATCCAGCAGCTGCAGACTTGTCTGCATGACAGGAACAAGGAAGTGGAGGTAAGGCCTTAGCTTGGCTTCCTGAGCCTTCAGCCAGTTTGTCTGCAGTGAGAGTGGGCCCAAACCAGAGCCTCCTGGCTGCCTGCCTCTGAGGAGGGCACTTGAACCTGTGCCAGATGCTTTGGAAGCTGGCTGCTTTTGGCACCTGTAAATACCTGTGCTTGCTGAGACACTGGTCTCTCAGCTACACCCAGTCTGAAGAGCTGTTTCTTCCTGAGCAGCTTGCAGTCTGATGGTAACAATGTCTCTCCATCTCTCACTTCCTCCCCCTTGTTCAGGAGCTTACAGCAACTCTGCTGTGCAAGCTGGGCCCAGGGCAGAGTGAGGTAGCAGAGGAGCTGTGTCTGCGTCTCCAGCAAAAGGAGAAAATGCTGCAGGATCTCCTCAGTGACAGGAACCATCAGACCATGGAGCATGATGCTGAAATCCGGGAGCTGCTGCAGGCTGTGAGCACCAAGGAGCAGCAGAGCAGAGTGAGTTGTGTGCAGTGCCGTAGTGGGGGAGGCTGGGGTGGATGGCTCTGCCTTACATTAAGCAAATGGAAGCTGCCCTCTGGCTGCAGTTGATGTAGCCTGGTGGAGCTGCCGAGTGTTGAAGAACCACATGAGATGCCATGAGCCATTTCTAGGTTGGTCTCAGCCCATCACATGGGAGCAGTTATGAAGCAGCAGCTCTTGCAGCAGTGTTCAGGTGTCAGGTCCCTGTCATTAAGTGTACTGGGCAGGGTGTGTGTGTGTGTGGTGGGGAAGGAGGTGCAGATCCTACTAAATATCCGTGCTCCTGGGCTTGGGGCAGCAGAGGGGCCATGGAAGGGATGCTGCTTCACGTGGGTGTTACCAGACCAGAAAGGAAGACTGTTCTTCTTCTGAGCTGTTTCTTGTGTAGTGCGTAAGTCTGAGGAAGCTCTGGTCACTGCCTCTTAACTTGCACATTATTCAAACTAGTGCATGGTCCTGTATGTGTAAATGCCACTTAGAGCCACAGTTCCTACTCTGCCTACTCTTGCACACTGGGCACGGTTCAGTGTTACCCAAGATACTTACATTGAGTTTCCTTTCATAAAAAGGGGGCTAAAAGGCCAAGCGCTGTCTCTTCCTCTTTGTCTGCCCTCTGTCTTTCTCCCCTCCTGAACAGGGTGTGAGAAACGGAGGAGCTTGTTCCTCTGTAGACAGAAATGCTGAGCCTTTCTGCAGCTGTCTGGCAAGCAGAGATGGGAGGGCTGCAGTGGAGTCATCATGAGTGGCCAGGAGCAGTAGCTCCCAGGCTGGTTTGTGGATCATTTCTTTTC